ATTATGACTTTGCTTAACTAAATTGTTCAAATTTTTTGACACTGAAAGAAGCATGGAATTATGAATCTTTTTTTAATAACCTAAAAGAATGTATGAGATTGCAAAATGTAAAAGAATTATTTCTGTCACTGATGTAATTTTGTCTTTAAAAAGCCTTACCTGAATCCTAATAATTGTTCAAGGATTATTTTTTTTTACTTCTCTGAACCTGTTCTTCAGCATAATAAAACCTAGGTTTTTACCTTTATAATTTCTGTGTTGTGGTAGATATATTTTAGCTGCAGTAACCTACCATATGAATTCAAAAAGGAGATATTTTTTCATAACACAACTATCTTCCTTCTCTTTATTATCACTGATCCCAAAAATACACCTGTAAGGCTTCTAATTAGGAGCAGGTCTTTGATTGTAATGCCATTATAACAGGCAATATTACAAGAACATGTAGAGTTAAAATGTTATTTGAAATATTTACAATAATTATACCTAAGGCCAGTTATCTCATTTGGTTAGGGTTTCATGCTGCCAATAGAAGTCAAAATCTTGTTTAATCTTGAATGATTAAATTACTACATACTGCAGAAGACAAGTTGGCACAGAACATAAGATCAAATTAAATTCTTCTGCAAAGAAATTAAATTATTTGGAGGAAGGGAATAACTTCTAAGCTGTTAAGAGATCTATGTTTAAACAGTTATAAATGCAAACTTGACTAGTTTCATTAAAAATAACTTAAAAAATATTTCCAGTGTCTGTCCTATATACGAAGACCCCCTTCCTCCTTTGGCCTTTTCTGTAGTGGCAGCCAGTAGTTAGTGGCAATCTCCCTCAACCCCACTGGAAACTTTTGCTTCAAGGGGCTCAGCATAAATTGAATTTAACTTGGGAGTCATTTAAAAACCCTAAATGGTCAATTTGTATGCTATTATACCTGGTAGCTTTTCTTTATTCTTTGGTGTCATCAACTACATTCTAGACCTGGGTCAGCTGTCTTCCAAACGTGTGCTACGCATGGATCACAACAAAATACCTCAAAAAACATTCTGTACTAATGGTGAATCAGCTATTGTTAGCTAAGAAAATGAAAAGGCACATATGACACAACTCTAAATTGCTTTTTAAAAACTTTCATAATCTAATACAGCGGAAAGAGATTTAAAGAGGTCAACTGGTTCCATTTGAGACTATGTAGATGAACGCTTAAACTAAGTTCATCCATTTGAGATTTTTAAGGCTCTCTAGTTATAGAAACATATATAGTTATACAGACATCACTAGGATGCATATGGGATCATTATTTTTTAAATAAAATCATAATAGATGAAGGAGGCTGACCTAGGTGGTTAAGATAAAAACTTTCAAAATAATTTGATTCCTAGGTATATTCCCATTAAAATTAAAAACAAAATCATACCTACACTCCTTTTTCCAAATTAAACATTATTGATGCTCTTGGTTACTATGTGAAAAGATAGAGGCATGTGAAATGCCCAAGGCAATTTGCAACAAAGAAAATAGTTTCTTCTCTTTAAATTCATTAGGAGCCCCCAAAATTACCATACTATTAAAAGATAGTTCATTCCCTTAAAACTAGCAGAATCAGACCCAGTGTGAGAAACTGCTTTCTATTTGCACAAAACATGAACCTTTTCATTACTGATTTTGTCTAAAAATTTGCAATGATCTGCCTTAATGAAGTTGGAAAAAGAAACCAAAAAGTCTGAAGTAAAAAAAATTCACTCAGAAATCCAAATAATGATCTTTTTAGAGATACACCCCACATGTTTTGAATTTGACAACTGGCTACCAAAGTCCTAATCAATCTTAAAAACTGTCAAGCTTTTTTTTTTTAAATTCACTATATTTTTCCTCCACTATCACTATGGTCAAAGATGCCACATATTTTAAGAGCAAGAAAAGCTGCGTTTTAATATTGATTCAGTAGTTCTTGGGTAAGGTTTCTTGCTTTTTACATTTCCCCTTATCAGTATGATTTAAAGGCAGTGGAAGTGGTTATTTTTGGAAACACAAAGTGGTGCTGGCAGCAGGTCTAGCAATATAGTTGGGGGTAGGGGAATGTTGCTGTTTCTGCTGTTTTTCTTCAAATTCAGGCACCCTTCTAAACCTAAAAGTATTATGTAGTTTAGTTATATATGTGTTATATCTACAAACATAATGAACACATATTTCAAAACGATCAAAGGCATCCTTTCTGAACTTTCTATGCTAGGGGTTCTTATCCTTTTTTTGTGTTATGGACCCCTTTGGCAGTTTGGTGAAACCTATGGACCTTTCTCAGAATAATGTTGTGAAATGCATAAAATAAAATACACAGGATTATAAAGAATAGCAATAATATTGAAACAGCTATTAAAATACAAAAAACAAAACAACACAAAAACCAACAAAACCAAGTTCATAGATCCCAGGCTGAAAACCCTTGTTCTGTGCCTTGTACAGCTGCTGTTTTTCTCCAAATTTAGAGGACTTGGAAATTTAAAACTTTACAAGGCAGAAAGTAATTATTCATGAACAGATTGGGGAAAAATCAATTTTTAAGGATAGGTATATAGGCCAATATAAGCTTCTTGATTTCCCCTTCCCCACACCTCAAAAACATATCCACATCTTCATTCATTTTCTTCTCTTTTGTTTAAGTCTTTTGCATAAGTCGAAGAGGATAATATAGTCCATCTCCTTGCCAAGGCTTTGATCTCCTCCCCTCTCCTCCAATCTCTTGAAAGCTTGCCCAATCATTTATTGTCTTTAGCTCCTATTGATACTCTTTCCTCATTTCCTGGCAGTTCCTGTTTACTACAAACATGCTCAGACCTCTCCTAGCTTAAAACAAAACAAAACAAAACAAATTTCCCTTTAACTCTGTTACTCTCAAGCTACTCTCTTATACTTCTTCCCTCATTCATTACTAAACTTCTAAGTAAAAATTTCATAATTATCTTCTAATGGCCTTTTTTTTAAAGGTCTTTCATCCTTCTTAACCTTTAGGCAGAATGTGACCACTAAGGCAGAACCACTTGCAAAAATCTTGAAGGATGGCTTAAGACTTGACTGGGGAGAGGAGGAAGAAGGTTCTGGGAAATTTTGTAGAAAGAATTTATGCTTTGAGTAGGGAATGAATAAAAGAATGACATGAATGAAGTCTTGGAGGACAGAAAAGCATGAGGGATAGTGAAGAGACTGGCCTAGTTGTACCAGAATATTTATTTAGGCAATCATTAAGAAAAACTGGAAAGGTAGGTTTTAGCTCCATTATGAAGGGCCTTGAATAACAGGCTAAAGAGTTTAAACTTCTTCACGCTGAAAAACGATCAAATGAATCTCCACTGCCTAGTGACATAATGAAGTAAAGTCTGGGGAAGACAAATAAGGTGCCACAGGAAGAATGGATTGGAGGGAGAAAGACTAGGCAGGAAAGCTGGTTAGGAGACCACTGTTGATTTTAATGGCATAAAAGTAGAAATAGAAAGAAAGGATCATGGATCTAGAATTGAAATGGTCTTTGGATATGATCTAGTATAACTTCCTAATTGTGCAAATGAGGAAATGGAGGCCCAGAGAAGTTATGCAACTTGCTGAAGGTCACACAGATATTAAGAAATCTAGGTCTTTAGACTCTAAAATACAATGTTCTTTTGGTATATTGGAAATAGCACTGGTTCTTGCAGTCAGAGGACTTGAGTTCAAATCCTGCCTCTAAAGCTTACTGTCTTGTCACTTAACCTCTGCAGGCTCCAGTTTCCTTCTTTGAAAAATGAAAAGACAGGATTAGATGGCCTCTAAGGTCTCTTCCAGTTTTAAGTCTATGATCTTGTGACCTTGCTTCTTCAAAGCACTCATATAAACTAGGAGATCATTCATATTCATGAGCACCATGAAAAATCTTTGTGGTTTAAAAAATATTAAGTGTAGGAACAACACAATATTTTAAGTAACTGTCCTAGAATGTGCACTGATAAGGAAAGAATATTTCAATGCTGGGAAAGAAACAGTTCTCACGTGAGAATCATCATATTAACCCTCAGTGATTCATATTAGTGTCATATCTTGCAACATTTAAACAATCCATCTGTATTCTGAAAGCTTTGTTTCTCCTCCACCATTTATTTACTATCTGACCTTGGACTTAATTCACTTAACCCTTCCAGGATTCAATAACTTCCCATGTAAAATGGGAACATCTGCACCTTATGTGCCTGTAGGATAAGCACATCATTTCTTGAGATCTCTTCAAGCTCTAAAATCTTTGATTTCTTGCCTGCAGAGTCAGGGTAGCATGTTTCCTGTGTTCAGAGGGGGAGCACAGACAATATGCCAGTTTGTATGTCAAGTTAATATCATTCTTAGAAGATTAGAAGCTGTCACTAGTACTGTGTTTTAACTATGATTAGAAAATGTTTCTTGTTCATAAGGCCTTGGCCATATAAATGCATCAATGTGTCCTAAAAATGGAAGAAGTTCTGGGAACTAAAGTCTTAACATTAATTGAAAGTACTGAAAAGATTTTCATTCTATTCTGCTTTTTTACTAAGATTATTTCTCTTAAGGGATTCTTAACCTACCATGGGACAATGAAATTATACTGTGAAATAAAAGAATATTGAAGAGTGCTCCAATCTTCCATAAACAACATTAGTTCTACCATTTATTTGGATGAAATAAATTTCCTTCTTGGTGTTTTCAGCTCCCTAGGAGAAAATACTGCTACATAAGTCATTAGGTGCCAATGAACTGCCCTCTCCAACCCCCTCCAACCTTTTTGATTTCGCTTCAAAAAACTTTTCCCTCCAATAAATCTCATTAAATTTCCTTTAAATTCTTAAATATACCAAATCATAAATGATTTAGAGAAAAATGATCTTTTCTCAACATTATGCATAACTTTTCTCCTGTATAAATTAGCTTTGAGGATAAAAATAAATGACAAAATTGCCCCCACAAAGTCATGCTGTTTTCAATTATTTGATGTGATAAATACATACCTCTGCTTCCATGTGATAAGCATTTTCTATTCTACTAAAATCCTTTGTCACAGTTATATTTTCTGCCTGAAACAGAAAGCAGAACAGTATAATTCTTAAAGTCAATAAAACAAACTAAAAGTTTAGCTATTGTATGCTATTCCTCTGAAACAAAATAGAAACCTGAACTTTGGATAACTTATTTAAAAAGCAGGAATGTAGGATATCAAAGGCCTAACATAAGGAGGATATTCTGCTTAGTTTTAAAAAAAATTACCTAAAAAGAGCAGAAGTCAAATATATTCATTCTTTTAAAAATGTACTGGAAAACTATTTCTTCATAACTGCCACTTTGACTTCACCACATAGACACATTTATAAAATTCATGTGATATAGTGTATGCCTAAGGAATTTTATACAGTAAAAAATGTTTAAATGCATTGAGATCTAGTTTTTAAGAAAAGTAAACCTACAGGGAACCTTTTCATAGAACAAAAAAAAATCACCCTTTTGCATACCTTAATTTTTCATATATTATACTGTTCAAAGCATATATGGCATAATAGATGGTACAGTTTAGTGATATCCTCTAAAAATATTCTGATCCCTGTTCTCTGGGAAACTGTACAGCTAAGGGAAGAGGGGAGAGAGACAGCCAAGTAGCTAAAACATGTAATTATTAGCTTATATCCTCTCTTCTTCCTCTTTGTACCTCCCTAAAGGTGTCTGCTGCCCTTTTTTTGACACTGCTCTACAACACTTCTACTAAATGAGTGCTACTCTTTCTTCTGTTTGCACTTGGTTTGTTTATATAGTTTTTAAGTTGGAAGGGGCCTCTAATTCAAACTTCTTATTCATCAAAGCTGCCTCTAATATTCATTCTAACCAGATTTCATCTATATAAAAATGTTAAGTAGAGGGAAAGGAACTCTGCACACTGTGATCTGCCCAAAATACTACAACCCTCCTTAAAGAGACCTTACTGCAGTTACATTTTTTATCTTTGTCTTTTTAAATGGTTCTCACAGTGCCTGACAAAACAGTAACTATTATCATACCTAATATTTTTTAAAGTACCTAAGATATAGCTATCTCTACTCTTCTTCAGCCTACCTAACCAACTGTACTGTCTGAAAAGAGGACCAAAAATATCTACTTTATTTCCTACTACTGAATACATATTCAGGAGAGGCTGTGTGTGTGTGTGTGTGTGTGTGTTTTTAACTGTCCTCTCCACATGAGTTCTTTCCTTTTGTTCACTCTACGAAGCAATCTTGGTTTTTTTTTTTTTTTCATATTTAGTACAGGACCAGATTTTGTTTTTATAGTATTTTAATGCTATATTGAAATGTAGCTGTTTTGAGAATTCTGTAGTTTCAGCTTGTTCCTTCTCACTTTCCAATGCCCTCCCATCCTTAGCTGCCTGCACTACCACCTATTAGGCGTTTTAAAAAAAAGCCACAGGCACACTTTTCTTTAGAAATTAAAAGTATAAGCTTATTTTCGCTACCATAGTAACCACTGTGCCTCTGTCACTTATTTTTGAAGGTTACTTGACTAGTGTGAAAGTTATTTTTTATATAATTGCTTAAAGTTAACTATTAAGGAAACTTTCAGCTTTCTTAAATTGTTGTTTAAAAATGACTTTTGGGTAGTATAGCTATGGAGAAGTGATAAAAGAGGTTTCTTTTCTCTATCTTTAATAGACCTTGAAAATTAATTACATCTTAAATAATTTTTGTTGAATGAACAAAAACTATATCATAATATATTTGTGGTATATTAACTGAAATATTGTATAAAAATCAATTTTATTTGAAAAACTCCCAATTCTTAATGGCTTTATATATTTAAGAACACTGCCATCTTGTGGCTTTGGGCAAAATTGTTATAGAGAAAATATCTAGATTTTCTCCTATTTGATTAAATTGTATGCTTCAAATATATGATGGGGTAGAAATCTAGCATTTAAAAAATAATTTCATAGGAACACTACTGGAAGTAATTTTAATATCCATGACCCATTTACTAAGTGCTTTGGCTCATATGTCCTACTTAAAAGCATTTTCCCCCCTCTTTTTTATGACTGCAAGTTTTCAAGAGGAGTTATCCATTTAATTTTTAATCAGAATATACTTTTAGAAGATCAAAGAAGAGTTTTTTTTACTTCAGTTCTTGAGCCTGCTGTTCATATAATTTTCTCCTAGAAAAGCTATCATTTTAATTATGAGAGCCCCAGGAACAAATTTGTTTTTTGTAGCACCTTAAGGTATGTTTTACTTTTGATGTCTACCTACATGGCATATTTAAACCTCTTTTTTTCCCCCTACTCTGCCTTCCAGTTTTTTAGGTAGACAATGGGGACTACACAATATAATAATAATGGTAAATAATCTAGAACTGTAATTTCACATTAAAACCAAATAGCTACATCATCAACAAATATCCATTGATGTCCTACTATGCACAGGCACTGAGAAAGACAACGGGGAATATAAAAGCATATAACATTAGGTTTTTGACTTAGAAGGACTTATCTTCCAGAGATACAGATAAAATACACACATAAAAGGATAAATAAAACTGCAAGGTACCATGTTCTAAATGTCAAATATGTGGTAGAGACAATAAGTGTTCTAGGAGTTCATTGGTAGTACACGTTATATCTTGTATTGAGATTACAGAACCACTGCTAATAAACAAATAAATGAGCAAAAGTAAATTCTGAAGCTGATCTACGAAAAGGGTACCAGACTAGTATCAGAAGACCTGGGTTCCATTCCCTCCATCCATCCATCTATCTATCTATCTATCTATCTAGTTCCTAAACCTCAGGTTAAGAATCCCTATTTTATAGGATCACAGTTCTGGAGCAGGAACGTCCTTCTGGAGTCATCTAATTAATCTCCTCACTACAGAGTGGAAAAATCATTTCACTTCCTTGAGCACCTTTCCTTATCTGTAATATGAAGACAATATTTTTATTATTTCCTTTACAGACTTACTTTAGTAGTATTACTACTAGTACCATGAAAGTGATCAAATAAATTAATATATGCAAAGTATTTTGTAACCATAAAGCATAAATGAGTTATTTTTATTAGAAAACACTAACATTTTTCATCATAGATGATAAAATTAAAATGTCTATATGACATGAATATTAAACATTATACCATTAAACAATTAGAAGACAACCAGATCATGTAACTTCTGCAGATATGGTTGGGGGTAAATTATTAACCAAACAAGAAAAAGAGGTAATCACAAAAAAGAAAACAAATAATTTTGATTATGTTAAATTGAATAGATACTGCAGGAACCAAATTAATGCTGCTAAAATAGGAAGACATTCAGTTTCTGCTAAGGATCTGATATTGGAAACAGAGGCAACAGAAACATGTAAGACCAAAGGTCATTCCCCAATAGGTAAGTGGTCAAAGGATGTGAACAAATAGTTCTCAAAAGAATTGAAATTTTTTTAACAGTCATATGAAAGAATGTTCCATGTAATTAGTAATGAGACATGCAAATCAAAACAACTCTGAGATTTTACCTGATACTCAGCAAATTAGAAAAGAGGTCAAAAATTGGAAATGGTCGACATTGGTGGGGGAGAAGGTAAAAGGAAACAAGCATTTATATGGCACCTACTACTATATGCCAGTCACTGTATAACATGCTTTACAAATACTATTCTCATTTGATCCTCACAAACAACCATGAGAAGTAGGTGATATTATTATTCTCATTTTACAGTAGAGGAAACTGAAGCAAACAGAGGTTAAGTGACTTGCCAAGGGTTAGAGAGTTAGTAAGTGTCTATGGTCACACTTGAACTCATGTCTTCCTCATTTCAGGTCCAACATTTTATCCACTGTGTCACCTACTTACTTTTAATATTGGAAGGGTTGTGGAGAGACAAGTATACTAACGCACTGTTGGCGGAGCTGTGAGTTGATTCAGCTGTACTATATCAACCATCCTGGAAAGCAATTTGGAACTATTCAAAGAAAGTGACTAAAATATTCGTACCTTTAACCTAGAGATCCCACTGTTGGCATATACCTGCCTTTCCCTCTCCTCCTCTATCTAAAAGGAGGTTAATACTAAAAAGAAAGGCTTTCTATACACCACAATATTTATAGCAACAATTGCTATATGTATATAATTCTGAAGCAACAAACTGCAATATAGCAAAGCATTAGTAACAAAGTAGATGCCAATCAAATGGAAATGGCTAAACAAGTTGTAATACATGAATGTAATGGAATATTACTGTGCTGTAAGAAATAGTAGGATGAATATAGAGAAGTGTGGGAAGACATATGAATTGATGCCAAGTGAAGTAAACAGAACAAGTCAATCAATCCAATCAAGAAGCATTTATTAAGTGATCATTATGTGCCAGCTGGGCAGCAAGGTCACATAGTGGATAGCATGCCAGGCTTGGAGTTAGAGATACTCATCTCTTCCTCAGTTCAAATATGGCCTCATACACTTACTAGCTGTGTGACCCTGAGGAAATCACTTAACCCTCTGTGCCCCAGTTTCCTCATCTGTAAAATAAGCTGGAGAAGAAAAGGGAAAATCACTTCAGTATCTTTGCCAAGAAAACCTCAAATGGGATCATGAAGAGTTGGACTTGACAGAAAAAGACTAAACAAAAAAAAAATGTGCCAGCTACTATGCTGAATGCTGAGGATATAAAGTAAGGCAAAAATCTGGTTCCTGCCCTCAAGGAGCTAGTATTCTAGACAATATATTCAATGATGACAACATTGTAAATGCAAAGAACCACCACCACCAAACACAGAAAGCTAAATACTGTGAAATTAGGAGTTTGGCCCCAAATAAGAAATATGAAAAGGAACCTCTGTTTGATTCGGTGAAGAGCTGACATACTATAAATTTGGGATATTGCATACAATCAGACTTTTCCATATGTTGGGGTATTGCATAAAAGTCAGATTTTTCTCCATATGTTGCTTGGCTTGGCTGAACTGTTTTCCCCTTCTATTTTATTCTTTGTTAAAAGGGATGACTCTCCTGGACAGGAAGCAGGAAGGGATATCTGCTCTGGGAA